AGTAAATAAAAAATGGTTGTTTTTTCTTTTTTTTTTTTTTTACAGATTTCTGTTACAGTAAATTTTATGTCACCAAAAAAGACGAAGCTTCTTAGCAGAAGTTTCAGTTTCAAATTTTTTTTTTTGTTTTGTTTACAATTTCAATAGCTGAACCTCTTAAAACGATCTTTAAACTCAGAAAACACAATCTTCGTTTAATTTTGTTTCATTTCATTTCGGTTTCTTGACGGAAAGAAAACTAAAAACAAATGATTTTTCAATTATTTTTTTTTGGTTGGTAAACAACTTAGATAAATGATAAAAAAAAAAGACATTAAAAATCAGAAAACTTCAATTATAAAGGTGTGCTAAACTTTTTATTCTTACTTTTTGAGGTTTAAATCAGTGTTGCATCAGTGTTGATTATTTACCATCAACTATTTCTTGTATTGACTAACAATTAGGAAAGATGGAAACTGATATCATCAATGTTTTCTGTAGAATAGTCGCACTTCAAAAAAAAAAATTATAATTTCCAGAAACAGAACGATGGTCACAAATTGAATCTTATCATAATTTATAGTTGAGTAATATAATTAGTTGCCTGCCATGCGATATGAACTTAGTTCAGTAAGTAAAATAGTTTATTGAAAGAATTCAGATCAGTCAGTCAACGAATTCAGAAATTTAAACTTTTAAGAAGAAACACTGTACAACTTTTACATTGTTCTTTTAGACTATGCACTAATTTAGTGTTTGCTATAAACAAATTAATTATCATACAAAGTACATACGAAAACAAATTAACTACTTGTAAAGAATAAATCAAGCTTCCTGTTCAGCTTCCTGTTTTTGGTTTATAAAACTTTCACACAAATGCTGAACAAGTTGTATGATTAATCGCATAAGTATTTTTCACTTGGCTAATCATTTTTTGCTGATCATATTCGGCCATCAGCAATTTTTCAATGTAACGCTTATAATGTTTTTCATTTACAGACATTTTCACGAACTGTTATAGATTGTAGAACTTTCCAGAAGAACTGTCATAGTTGTAGTTTATTCTTATTGATAACGATCAGATAGTCGTTTATACGAACTTTTCTATCTTCTCCTGGTGCATACTTATCAGTTATAGATAATTCTAGAATTATATATTAAATCACTAATTGTCATATTCTTTATCTTCTTCAAAGTTTTCTTTTACTGATTGATCTTTGTATTTTGAAGGATCAAACATAAATTTTTTTAATGTTGTGCATTTGCTGTAAGCCTCTCAGTGGAAAACGATGTTTGCAGGTTGTCTGAAGCATCTAAACTAGCAGAAGTATTGCTAGATGATGAGAATACATTTTCAACCGATGACATCAAACACTTGAGAAGAAAATTTTCCACTCTGAAAAATTTTTGAATATTTTTTTGTTTGAAACAGATTTATATGAACATTTGGCAAGCATAAAATTAGGCGATATTTTTTTTTAGGTTACGGAAATTTTGTTGATAAATTCAAAAAAAAAAAAAAATGGAATAAACTCTTGAAAATTTAGAAGTCTGCAGATAAACTAAAAAGACAAACGACTACTATTCTACAAAATAACAAAAAATTTTTGATCCAAAAAAAATGCATAATTCTTTTCTTTTTTTTTTCTTTTTCTTCTACTACAAACCATATCTTTGTTTACTTATATTTTTTTCGTTTTGTTTCGTTCAATTTGAAAGTAATATAAAGAAAAAAATGCTTAAGAGCTTTATAAACATCTGCAAAGTTTACTGTTGAAGAGAAAAAACACCTTCAGTCAATGATATTCTCTACAGAAGAGAAAAAAAAAAGAGGAGAAGTTTTTAGAAAGTTACAACAAAAAAAATGGCTAAAAAATTGATAAAATCTAAATTTTTAAAATAACTTTAAAACGTTAGCAAAATAATATTGTACCTTTATTACAAACATTAATTCTTAAACTTTCATTAAATATGCCGTATTCAAAAAAAACTTGTTTTTTTTTTTTAAAATAAAATTTATGGTTTTAGTTTAGAGTTGAAATGTAAACTGACATCATTTGTTGATAAAAATTGCAAAAAAAAAAAAATTTGAAAATTTTTTTTGAAGTTTTTGTTAACTTTTCATTCGTTTTTCTTCTGTTTATTTTAATTATAATATCTATAAAAGTTACTGACCTCAGTGTTGTTAAAACAGTTAAAAAGTGTCACAGATAACATCAAAATAATGTTTTGAAATAACAAATAAAAAGAATAAATTTTAGATGTAAAATTATTGTTAAGTACATTTAAATACATTTATCGAAATTTGATAATATTATTAATTAGAAGTTTGATATCACTTTCTAAAAGCTGTCGTCCAAAAAAAAAAATTGTCATAGAAGTAGTGCACTTTTATGAAAGATCTACGAGTAGAGAATGGCGAAAATAAGACTTGATGTTGCAAAGATAGCATAGTAAAACAGTTGTTTCACTTATAAGAATTTGTTTCTAGTTTTGATTGATGTGCCGATGGTCCAAACAGCCTGTGATGAACATTGAATATTTCGGTGAATGGAAATATCAGAGCGTAGATGCTACTACGATTTACTGCCAAGAATTCAGCTAAAGATCAGCAGGCAACGAAAATATAAATTTTGGTAACTAACTATAAAATATCTTTCAATTATACAAACCATAAAATCTCTTCACCTTTCAGCTATAATTAACATTAAAAACTGCGTTTTTGGTCTGTTAACAGTTCATTAAAAAAAAAAAAATGAATTACTTGGATTGTACAGGTGAATACAATTCAGACTGCTATCATTTATCAACAAAAATAAACATATTTTAATTTAAGGTACAGTGTTTTTAGAAAAAACAAAAAAGGTTTTTTGCAGAATTTTGCAATTTCTAATACGTTTTTGAATCAAAGAATGGTCAAAGCCTCTCTCCTACTATGCTCTTTTTAAGCTCAAAATTTTTTATTCTGTACTGTAGTCCCAATAGCCGCTTGAGTACTACAGCACTAACCAGTGACAGTTATTTTATGGTAATGTTTGTGAACTGTATTTCTTTAATACCTATCTCTATGGTAGTGTTTAACTCAGCAGCGATGGAATGTGAACACCTCAGTTTGCTTTTTCATTTTTATTGATAAAATAGGCGTACACGCGTACAAAATATAATCCTAATAATAAGGAAAATAATTGTACACCGGTACTACAATTTTCAAAAAAGAAAAATACAAAATAATAAGAAAAAACACGGAAGAAATTGGACTACCCAACAAAATGAATTTAACCATTAACAAACGATACAATAATGAAATATCAAAAGAACGAGGAAATAAAAGATTGAAAGCAATGTCGATGTGGATCGACGAAGACCATATCGAACGCTGACAACAGGTAACGAATCGATGTCAATCGATTAATGAACCATGAAATATAGAAGCTTTCAGCCTCCTTCATACCTATCTGATTACCGCCTGACCTGCTACCCGTTTTCTTGAGGGAGAGGTGTCATCGGCTTTTACAGAATTAATTGCCACACCTTTCCTCTCGAAGTGCCTTTAGGGTTGACAGTCATCCCTCTGAAGGCGTCCCTTCAATGAGTGACGTCGCCCTAAATCGTGTACGTTTCGCGCTCTGTCGCGACACTCCCGAGGAGGCCGACGAATAACCCTTCTGCGAAGTGAACTGGTGAAGGCAATCAAGCAGCAGTAAATTAGAGAAACATTAAATAAAATATGATAATATAGCCAAACTGTTCTGAACAAATAGCTTAAATAATATAAGGTAATAAGCATACAAAATTGAAAACGAAACAAAAACAAAAATAAGTTACAACACACAAATCAATGAAAATTACGACCACCTGTTCTTTGAGTTTTCTTGTTACATCTAAAACTGAAGTTTTTGCCCTGTTTATGGTCTTTTAGCCATTGGGGTTTTTTTATAAGCTGTAAAAAGGAAAAATAAACTAAAGTAAAGAAAAAAAATAAAAAAACAAAAAATTTCTAAAAAGAAAATTAAGAATGAAATGAAAACCTTTTTTATATGTATGTGAAGTCCCAAGTGTTTTTTAGAAAAAAAATAAAAAAAAAATTCAAAAAATTTGTTGGTATTTTTTCTGTTGGAATCTCGAAAAAATTTGGAAAGAAAAAATAAAATAAAATTCTAGAAATAAACTTGAAAAGTTTGAAAGAAAAATTTTACTGCTTCTTTTTACTGAAAATCCCAGGTGTTATTAAATTTGAAAATAAAAAGAGAAAAATAAAAATAAAATTTTGATTTTGAAATTTCCTGAAATCAAAAGAAAATTTTCACTTACTCGTGTTTCCGAGCGAAGAACGATCCTGCTGTGATCCGGTGCTTGTATTCGTTCAATCAATCGTAAATCTCGATCAGGTGATTTTGGGCACACCGGGAATAATCAATAAATTTTCATCACACGAGTGATTGATCCAGATCTCCCGGTCCCCTATAATGAAAACTCCTTCTCTGGCTTTCGCTGGAGCCACAGTGCCGCGTTGTGGGTGAGTACAAACTCTACAATCCGGAATTTTTCCTTCGGGCCGTTACGATTATTGCAAAATTGCGACCCCTCCCCTGGTACCGATTAATGCTGTAAACTTTCGCTTCTGACTACCTTCTCTCAATGTCCTCTACCAAAGCATTGTAGTAGCATAAAATAACTACTCTAGCGCCAAATGCTCGTTGCTGAATAAAATGATTTACTTTAACCGCTAACTCATTATGTAAATCATTTACCCAACTTTTTTCTCGCGTTAGCTGTCCCTTGCCCATTGTATGGAGAAATAAAATCGATACTTCATGATTGAACGCTGGTAGTACCAATTCTGACTACATCGTGCATATTATAGGAGCTGTGTCACAGATGATTCTCGGCTTGTGAATGGCTATCGCTTGGGCTGATTCTTCCCCTTCCCGGTAAGCATTTCCGTCGTGCCAAATTTGTCTCGAGATACACCTCTTGATGAATGGCGTATCCGCGTCCGGGTTCTCTGCATTCAGATGTTTCCGCGATATTTCAGAGAGTCTTCTATGTGACAAGCTCGTTGTTTCTGTCCTATATCAAATATCAGTCCGTTCATTATTGACCGAAGGAATATTAGATACCTATTTTGTAACGTTACATAATTGAGAATTTTTTCCGCCAATTCCTGTACTGCTAGATTTGTCAGTACCGTCACGAGGATCACCGTCTCACATTTCTCTAAAAGTTCAGCCACAGAAAGAGGAAGAATAAAGGTTTGACCTGTACCGGCTGGGGCCTGCGCAATAAGAATACTTGACGTAGGATCGTCAATATGCTCTAGAATCCGGTTCTGCTCCAACGACATGTTGATTTTCAGCCCGACTACCTCCACTGGTATTTCTTCCTCTAGCAGCCTTCTCTCGGTTGCCGATCCCCAACCTCCGCTACCATTTTCACCTGGGATGAATCCATCAAACGCTCGAGCATATGTTTAAGATTGGCAATGGTATTGTCCTGAAGAACGTTTTATAGTCTTCGTCTCGCAAATTCGCTGATTATTCCTTCATAACCTGTATCGTCCATGTTCAAATACAAGATCAAGCCTTTCGCATCATCATTCCTCATCAGCGCTGTTATCGGAGTAAGTGCTACGCGCATTTGAGCATCATCCGTTTGTCCATGAAACCAAAATGTTGTCTTCCTCATCAATTTGCTTGCCACAGATGGTCATCTTGATTCCACTCCTGTACAGTCTAGCACTAATAGATGGTGTCTCGATTCTCACTGTTATTCCCACCTCCCAATACCTGATCCTCGTTTTAAAAACTCTTCCGTCGTTCTGGTACTTACCCTGGTACGGAATAAGAAAATACAGGTCTGCCGCCGCTTGCCTTAAAGTTTCTTGCTTAAGGTATACTTTTGCCGTCTTGTAAAGTCTTGTAAGAAAAGAAATATCGCCAGCATTGGTTGTATAAGTTGATGGTCGGATGACCCTCACCCAAAGCCTATGATGACCTCATTCATGACCTCCAGCTTCGGTTTCCGCAAACCTTTTAGGTAGATAATACCTTAGCTCTCTACCTCCCCAATTTGTTTCGTATTCAAGACGTCCTGGTCCCAGCTGGCAGACCTTTCTGTTTACAATCATCTCAATATCCATGCTTATAGCTAATACCATGGAGGCCTAGCTGTCGATACGATTGAGAAGTCTTCGGCTTGTACTAATGAGCTTAGCCACCCTTGATGTAAGAAAATATAGACGGACACTTGCCCAAGAACTGGAACTGTCTGTATCCCGCTCCTAACCTAAGCTACTTCATAAGATTTTACCTTAACTATATCAAAAAAATTTAAAAGCTTAGCAGTCTTAATTCGCATAAGCAGTAGAGCTCTTCGCAACATATTTTAGTCGCCAGGATCGTCGATGTCTAACAACAGAATAACTTAATTCCTTGTAACATGTGCAACCACATAAGTTACTTCAGACTCCAAAGCCGTGAGTTTTGCCCAACTAAGTGACATGTTGTACGAGAGAAGACTCAACGTACGTAGGTCGCAAACAGAAAGATATAAACAAATTCGACAACCTAATCGAAAATTTGAAATTAAGACTTAAAAATCATAGCGTAATAACGTCAGAAACGAATTCAAAAAAAAGAGAAAAAACAGCTGAGTTAAATAATAAAGTTTATAAAAACTGAAGAGTTTTGAAGAACACGATTGAATCGAAAATAAATTAAAAAAATAAACGCAAAATGAACAGAACAAAATTTCAAAAAATTTAACCGCTTAAAATATAAGAACTAAAACTATGGAATTGAAAAACGCAATGAAATCAAATAATGAACTTTAAAAGAATAACATAATGAAAATTCTGAAAAAACCTTACACAAATGAAAGAAATAATCAAAGAACGCAGCAAATTATGAAAACTTAAAAGCAGAAGCGAAACTGATTCAATTAGAACAAGTTAATAACTTAATATTAATCCGGTTAAATTTAAATATAAACGAATTTGAAATTACAATAAAGATCTCAAGTTTCTGAAGAATCGCGAAACTCAACTAACTGGATCCCAGAAGTGATAAAAGCGTTGATGGCTAATGCAACGTCTGTTTGGAAGGATGACGATTACGGATTTAATGTAGCCGTTTCTCTTTGTTCTAACTGAGGCAACTATACCAATTTCCCATTCCCCGCGTCTGATGTCTGATTCCTTGAACAACACTATCTTGCATTTTAGGGTTCGTGGAAATTGTGCCTTTTTGTTCTTTATTTACTGTGGTCTGTTGTTCCATCAAGATTAATCGGTACTCCTCACGGAAAAAATTACAATGGGGATCTAATAGTGCCAAATATTTCTTGTAAACATTAACAGATTCTTTCCTTTCCTGTCGGGCAATACAATCTGGGGCTTCATGAATACTAACAGGTATTCATGAAAACTAATAGATATTCCAGACGTTACAAGATCGCTTGGTTGTAGTATGGTAGTGATGACATCATCACAAGTATATGTTAATGATCTAGAATTTATAATTGCTGTTACTTTATATAATAATGTCTAAAACTCTTTAGTTTCTATAATCTTTGGACCAATAGTTTTTTTTGTAAAGATGCCTTTACCACTCCGATTCGTATTATCCTCCTTGCTACAGAGCATATTCAGTTATATACCTCAATTTTATACTGTAATTGGCGTAATAAGCTGAGACGTCTTCATTCAGGACTAATCTATCTCAGAATTCTGCTAACGCATTACCTGCTGCTTTGAAATGAGTAGCGTTGTCGGAGTAGATGATCCTCGGGTGTCCTCCTATTGAGAAGAGTTGTCTAACATAAATTAAAAATGCTGTTGTACTCAAATCGAAGACTATTTCAAGATGTATATTACGTGTCACGAGGCTCGTCAATGTACATGCCCATTTTTTGGCAGTCATATTGGTGACGTCACCAGCCTTTAAGGTAATAAGACCGTAATATTCCAATCCTGTAATCTCGAGTGGCTTGCAATTTGTGTCTTTGAATGATGGTAACGCTGGCATTTGTGATATGGTAGTCCTTAATATTTCTTGCATAGTACGCATTTCCTGAGGTATTTTTTGACCATTGCCCTTGCCTTTGTTATCGACCATTTCTTTCTGGATTCTGCCAGTACCGCTTGCATTCACATATGCATGAGGCGTTGATATATTTCCTCAATAATTATTTTTGTTAAATCTCCATCGTGACGTAGCAAGAAGTTCTTTCTGTTAGACACATATTTCCGTAACGTCAGGCACATCTTACTATTCCGTCCTTACGGAAAAGTCCTAATTGGTTTTTCATTTTATCTTTCCTTCCTGCGGCTATGATACCAAACAATTTTGGATATTGACGTAATTGTTCCAGCCGCACTAGTGAGTGTTCCGCGCTCTGTTTTTCTTGACCGTTTATATGACCTGTGCCTTTGATTTTGTCAAATATTTTTTTCAAGTATAGAAAACCTTTCCTCAGTTTTGACAAATGGTTTATTCCAAATTTTACCCTTTAAGAATCGTAGAATGTAAACCGTTACTCTTCTAAATTTATACGAATTAGAAAAGTCACTCACCTTAATTGCTAGTGTACTGATGATTGTATTTAAAGTAATAATACCCTCGATAAGATTTCGCCGTCTATGAGTTCTTTGCGTTCTCTGTTCTTAAGCCAGTATTCCTCCAGCTGAGTGGAACAAGAAGGTCCCTTCCATCAAAGTCAATTGGCCGTTAATTCTTTTAATTTGCATTCTCGCGTAGCAATATCTGCTGGATTGTCTTCTGTCGGTACGTAGCAAATTTGTACGTTGGTTGTCTTACGTATCTTCTTGAACCTTTCTCAATGAATACTGATAATAATTTAGGTGTATGCAACCATTGCAAAACGCATTTTTAGTCGTACCAAATCATTTGGCAAATAATGAGGCGATCGAACTCCCGTCGGATATACGGCAAGACTCGTACGCCGACTAAAACCGCAGGCAGTTCCAATTGAGGTTTCGTTATGCTTTTGGCGGGGCAAAGAC